TTTCCTTATATGGTTACTGCCAGAGTCACTAAATTTTCCCGTAATACCGAAACTCACACACTCAAAATGCCAAAATAGCGGCTCAATCTTTTTTTTTTTTTTAGTGTGGTTGTATTGAGTTTTTAGAAAGCATATTTTTGCGTAACAACAAACGGAAAAAATCTTTTTGTCGGAACTTTTATTGGAGAGCAGTACAAAGTAACGGGCATGTGATGTTTTCTCAAATCTTTAGTTTACAAGGTTTTGCGACACCATTAATATTGTTCTTGTACGGCCATGCCTTTTCGGTGATTACAGATAGCGCGTCCCGACCTGGGCGCGTCCTATCTTCGGTAGTAATTCACGGCGCATCCGCTCAGGGGTCGGGGCTTGGCATCCCTGAAACACCTTCCACTGTATACGCCTCGGCGCCAAAATGGACGATTAGAGCCAAAATAGAACCGTCAAAGCGGACGCTATTGAATGCGATAATCCCGAACCAATAGAAGCAGTCGTGCAGTTCCCCGAGTGGTCGCTGCGGGAAAAATGGCTGCGTTGGGATCGACATTGGCTCGGTTCTCGAGTACGGATCGGTGTCACTTTTTTCAAAGCAGGCTCTATGGCAGCTTCCACACTGAGTTGTTCTAGTAGCGTTGCTTGATACAAAGAGAATAGTCTCCAAGATCCAATCCAATCCAATTCACTAGGTAAAAAAGATGGCGGCGCCCACAGGATAATCGGCGAATGGGTTTCGATACTTGAGGTACAGCCTATTGAGCGGCTGTAGCAGTATTGAAGTGGATGTGCCTAAATATATTTAGCGAAAAATCTACCGGCAAACGCAGTAAAAGTACAGGGAGCTCTCGAGAAAAGAGAGCCGTGCTTTTCGGCCCCGATAAATAAACTAAGCATCACGGAAAGCTCAAATTCTGTGAGAATGCGACGCAAGCAGTTTGGATTGAACGCGAAATTTTGGTAACATGACGTCCCAGGAGCAAAAAATACTTGAAAAAAACGAAAATACGAAACTTTTTTTATATTTTTCGACGCGTACCTAAGCCTAATATTGTCAAAACAAATAATTATACAGTGAACACTTGAACGATTTATATCAGTGAAAAACACTTAGCAACGAGAAAAAAACTGTTACTTCTTGCTGATCAGTTTTTTGTTTTGTTTTCACTCAAATGGGTGTTACAGGGGCCCACAATGTCGCTTCTTCTTTTGACGATATATGCTTAGGTGGACATTGGCTCAAACATTTTTTTTCTCAGTTATCTTTTGATGAAAGTAACATCATATTCTCTCACTTTCGCGTTCTTTCCCAACCGCTAGCGCCACGTTCTCACGGAGTTCGAGCTTTCTGCAATGTATAGTTTATTCATCGGGGCCTAGGAACACAGTTCTATTTCCTCGAGAACTCCCTGTATTGCGCCCTCTTTTCGCACCTCCAGGTTTTGGCCGCTGGCCGTGCTACAAAATCTTAGACCATCGCGAGTGAACGACATTTTTATTGCTTTGTGCTCTGACCATGTAATGCTGCCATGGCTCTGTGCTAATACGCCCAAATGCGAAACTCGATAAATAAATACGCCCTACATGAAAGCAATAAACTCCACATAGAGCGCGAAACAGTGTCGCTGTATACTTAGCAGTCGGCTTGGTGCCACCCTTCTACTATATAAATTTGTCATCTGCAAACTGACCGAGAATCATAGTTGAAGACCCGGGCGTGCATATTCAAAATGAAGTGAGGAACAAACTTACACGAGACAGCGCGCAAAAGCAAACATTTCCAAAGTGAGCACACAGAATCATGGAGGCGGCGCTTTTTGACCGGTTTTCTACTCGTTTACCCCTTCCTTGACATGCATTGATATTTACTTAGTAGACTTTTCTCTCGTTTCCTGAATTCGGCTGCGTAAGATCTTGGATGCAAAATATATTTCTGTGAGGCATTAACGTGGAGTGTGTCCCCGAAAAAAAAAAAAAAAAAAGTACAGTTAATTGGCACCGAAAGAATTATTCCGGATTTTTTTTTTTAATATGTGGATATTAATAGAGAAGTTTGCATTGTCTTGACATATGCGGTTACTCCGTACCAATCGAAAAAAAAAAACTGTATTTACCAAAGTAAATGTGTATTCTGAGCACTAAAAAAACACGAGAATTTATCTATGCATAATAAGGGTAACGAACGTGTTGAGAAATAAAAAAAAAAAGTCGCTAGCAAAATGCCGCCGTAGCACTGTCAATGCCAAGAGCTTGTGCCTGGAGACGTGTTCCCTCGCGCTCAGGAACAAAAAAGAAACAGAAGTGCCGGGAAAAAACTTATCAGATGTCATCACCCTAAGCAAAGTGCAGATATGAAGGCACCCGAGCCTGACGTGTCGTTACCTAAAGCTTAAAGGCAGAGCCAGCTGGATATGTCTTGGAAAGCTGAGCGAGCACCTGTAGCCGAACTCGGTGACGAGTTTCTGTGCCAACGCAGTCAAAGATAGAGGAGAGCGTGCGCTCGCGCAACTTGAGCGCCGATTAAAGCACCGCACGCGCTCTTCGAAAGACCACATAAAGAAGATGACCAAAAGATCAGGGCTGACTGGAACTTGGATTGCGCTAGTCAATAGGATGTCCAACACTTTTATTTCCGTTAGGTCTAGACGCCACGCTGGAGCTCGCAATGAAAATAACAAAGACTACCTCGAAAGCTAGGCAGTATTCTTAGTCCTGTTCCAATGCATGCACTTTTTTTCTATCCTGATATATCCTTGAATCATAAGGACAGATATTACTTTACTTTTTAATGGGTCAGCATTAGAACGCTCGTTTTTGAAAAAACCTGCCGGTTTCGGTCCGTTTGTCACCACCTTGCGCGACGTCGCGAGGAGAGTGGGGCGGTGAGGAGGTATCGTGTTGACAGATTCATTGTCTTACTACGGCGACGGGGAGGAAGCGAGAAGGTGACGCGTGCTGACGTCAGCGCTTCGGACCCGTACGAGCGTCGCACAGCTAGCACGGAGCCAGATATGAGTAGGCGCCGCGCCGCTTTGGAATACGGCCCAGCTCAGTTGCCGCTCTGATGATGGACATGGTGCTTTCCACGAGTGATATGGCTGAACCTATTTAAGAGTGACGACAGAAGAAAGCCGAGGCCACGCGTTTAATGAATAGAATCCTATGGAAATGCTAACGCATTTCCATCGGATGGATCCCCTTGATCGTCGAACCAATTTATTTATTAACACGACCAGCACGAGGAGCGTTCATAAAGTTTGTGTTATTTGCGGCAAATAAAGAAAGTATCGCCAAAGTTTGCGTTGCGGGACAAGCCCACGTCCCCGTAGTTTCGAAGCACGTTAAAAATGTTTATCTCACAATGCCCAATAATTTGCCCAGGATAAAGGTCCCTTCCCTTTGTCATCCGACCCCACGACTGCTGCCGCCCGTGCATAAACGAAGGTGACGATTAATGATTTTGGAACTGCAATATGGTCTGCTCCTGACTAAGTATGCATGTAAGGGCATAACCTGTCAGGAGCACATTATTCTGGTCCGTTCCCACGAGAAAATATTTTACCGGGACTTTCTGACTAGGTTGCAGCAGGTCATTAAAAGTGCGTTTACTCCACCACAACGCTCCGGTGACGCAAGCGGCTGCTTTAGTCTACAATCAAGTCTACAAAGTCTGTCTTGGTTTCCGTATTCACCCGCCCTGGCACCCGGTGAACTCTGCCTTCTTCCTAACACGAACAACTTATTTAGGCGCAAATGTATTCAGGGCGATGACAAGGTGATTGATTATCAAGGGGGAACACTCCCTCGTACCCCAAATCTAAACTTCTACAATCAGCCGCCAGCTTATCAGTTGGCATATGTCTGTCGCCTCGTGTAGTGTATATGTGGAGACAGACTAATCTCACCATCGACACTTGGGATCGCAGCTATATCTTTTTTCATGGTAGTGATTCAGACGTTATGAACACCCCTCGTACATGTGCCGGAGCTAAATGCGAAAGTAACAAGTTGACCAATTTTACGATCTTTTATTTAAATATATTTTCTCGTTTTCTTCTTCTTTCAAGGGCGGCTACGAGCATGAAAGAAAATTCAGCAGGCATGCGTACAAAACAGAACGGTAACCGATTTCGTGTACAAGTTCGGTGAATGAACCGTGATCTAGCGCGAGCAATAGCAAGCACATCGGAATATCCGCGGAGAAGATAGACTGGATAGTGCGCCGCCTCGGGACAGCATGCATGCATCTATAGACTAACCAAAAAAATTTTTTTTCTTTCGTGGCTTTTTTGTTGTTTGTGTTCTAATCCTCAGTGTGACCGAAAACCGCCGAGCATTCATAACTGCTTTGCGCGACTCATATCGTCGAAGCCAAATCAAAGAAAGCGCAGTCTCTCAACGCACCCGCCGAGAGTTCGCCTCCTCTGCGAGCAGAACCAATTTAGGACAAAATCTCAAGAAACAAATGTAAAAAAAAAAAAAAAAGAAAACAAAATGAACGTACGTCACGTCGTACTCGGTTGAAACAGATATCGATAAAAAAGAAACTCTGGCAGCAGCAGGAGCGGCGTTCAGAGCGCTCTGCGGTGCGTACAGGTCCGACGTGAGTGAGGCAGGTATAAGGCAATCGAAGGCACCTCGGCGTTCGTCCTCCTCCTCCGTAACAGGTTTGCCTTCTCGGCCGGACGCCCTCCCCAACCCTCTCTCCCCGCGAGGAAACCGGACCGACCGAACCAACGCTCACTCCTCCGCGTGTCCCCGCAGCCGCGGCGACGAGAACGCCGAAAAACGTATCCGCCGAGGCAGGGGCGCGGCAGTCTTGAGGCCCGCGCCTGCGCGCGACATCGAACGCCGAGGCAAAGGGGCGCCCAAAGTTGGTGCGCTTCGTCAGGTGCCCAGTTGCACCGATCGCCGCCGGAAAACGTGTGCTGTCCCCAGCTCCGCTTTTCTTCAGTGAGAATTGTGACCAATCATCGCTAACGGTTCGTTCGACCACAGTGCTGGAGTGAACGTCGCTTCTTGGATTTGCCTTCGCGAGCATCGGACGCATCGAAAATTCCCCGTAGTCGGCGGCGTCGCTCTTTCGAAGAAAAGCCGCTCGGTGAGTCCTCGTTGCTACTCCGGCGTAGATCCTTAGCATTTCTGAATGGGCCGGGCGACAGCCGCGGCCGCGCGGATACTCCTCCTACGAGGAACCCATGTGCATGCGAATGCATAGGTGGATTCTTTTTCTCCATGCATCTGCTTCTCCCTCGTGTGTGTTCTTTCCCGTATAGGGTTCGAACCAAAATGTTAAAAAGTTGTGCAGGAAGCAGGCTCGAACGAAGTCAAAACTGAAGTTGGTAGACATAGGAAGCTATCCAGATAGGCAGAGATCCGTTCACAGATTCAGTTCGTATTTTCTCTTTCTCGGTGCAATCAAGAAACAACGTTACGTTCATATATCACGTCGCGGGCAAGCAACATCGCTTGACCGATACACGGTCAAGCGATATCGTGTAAACCTGTTCCACAAACTCGTTGTCTTGCGGGCTATTTAAATATGGCGTTTATGCCGATTGCCTTCGGGCGAGCAGCGAATCAGCTTAAGATCCCGGCTAAGCGTGTGCCAAAAAGGCGTGCGCTCGTTCTGCCGTTCGCTCATTTCGTAAACTACCATCGCATTTCTATGACAACATTATTTAGCGAAGTGTCTGTCGTCGAGAACGTCTTATCGAGAACATCGAGATGGAGCAGGAGATTGCCGCGCAAAAGAGATGCGGGGAAGGAGCTTTCCGCGCGGCGACGATCGCGAATCGAAACTTGGGGACAACAGCCGATTACTTATGTCGCTAATAATGTCACTGAGAACGCACGCACAGCTTAGCACATATATGTCGACTGTTCTTTTCGACAACATGGGCATCCTATGTTTGTACCAATACTCGAGGATTTAAGGATTCATTCAGAAGTTGGGAAGCTTGTAACAGGTGTCGTGCCCAAAGCATCACGCGTATACAAATGCCAGCGATCGCGTCAGCGTCCCACACAATCGCCGAGGCACCTGCATCTTTGCATTGAAAAACCTGCCTATTTTGCCGCATCCCGGCCCAGAAACATAAATGGGGACGCAATAATAACCCAATAACAAAAATATTTGCGCAAGAAAAAAGAAACAACGGTTTTGCCGTTTTCGTGGAAGAGTTGGCAGCTCACGCAGCCTCCACAAGGGGTACTCGGTTCGAACCGCGCCATACGAGTTTTATCCACTTTCGGGTGCCTTTCTAAGACACTCCAGTTGTATCTCAAAACTGACTGCCGGTTTTTGTCTAGAATTTTCTAACATAACCTGTATAAAAGCAACCGTAGCAGGCAACATCGAGTAAATTGGCTTTTCGTCATCGTTGTAAGATGCATGGTTCCCTTTGTGTTTTGGCTCCCCCGTGATCCCCCATGAAACATTTGTCTTTGCAGTCCCATCTACTGATTTTTTTTATTATTCTTGACATAACATCGCCAGAGCTGCGCGTTGACGAATCGAACGTAAATGGTTGATTGAGCGTTATAGCCAGAGAAACTCAACTGCTCATAGAGAAAGGTGATTCGACAAAGAATCAGCGACATTCGACCTCACGTTCGCATTAAAGATCTCCTTGAATTTGGCTAGAAGAACGGGAAAAGCTCGTTTAAGTAGTCCTTGTGCTAAAACCTTTTAACTAGTTCTAGTACTAGTAAAAAGCTTTGGTTACAGCTTTCCTTAATGTGTGATTGCCACCAGGTTCCAACGAGAAGTGCTATTCAATTTTCAGTTATTACCGTACTGTGCCAGGAAAACCAGAATACTAGACACAGTGGTTTCATGACACTCCTCCTCAATGGCGGCTTGGAAGCAATTATGCTGGAATGCACTTCCGACGGAACCTTTTCCAGTCGACTGAAACAACCGTATGCATGTAATTTGCTGCGAGTTTCACGTGGTAGCCAATGTTTTCCCGGAAAAAGACAGGCCATACTTAAAAAAAAAAAATAAACCTAGAGGCAAGAGAAACAAAAATGAGCACAAACACAACGCCTCAATGACTGACTTTAAAACGGTGTCGTGGGTGTTTTGTTTTTTTTCTTTTTCTCTAGTTTTGTGGGGTTTTTTTTTTTTTTTTTCTTTTCAGTATGACCCTGCCCTCACTACAGGCACTGTATCCACGATACACCACGTTCTGAGAGCTAAATGTTGCCGAACATATTCATTATAAATTCCAGTGCTTCACAGATGACAACTGGCAGCAGCGCGCAAAAACACGAGGACAAAGGGGTACGAGACGAGCGCCGAAGTCAGCGCTCCTCTTGTGCATTCCTCCCTTTGTCCTTGTGGTCTTGCGCGCTGCTACCAGTTGTAATGATGAACCAGCTCCCCGGCATCGCCATATTGATCTTTCACAGATAGTTTCCGGTCCTTGTTACATCGAATGTCTCACTTAATACCTTTTGTTGAAAACAAAACAAAAAATTTCGCAAAATAGCACGCGGGAGCAACACGCATAGCCCACAAGAGCATATATATTCGCCAATTCATTGCGTACACAACGTTACAATTAAAAGTCTTTTAAAACACTTTAATAAAACAATGTAGCGTTCATACAAAACATATATCGTCGCGTGCGCGACATTCAAATAGTGTGTGCATATACTCAACAGCTATAGTACAGCGAAAGCTTTGCAACAGGGCACATATTCATTTTCAGTTCCTTTACATGGACAACGTCTAACTTTTCAACAATACCAATAAATCTATTTTATAGTCCACAGGTGATAGCCTGGCCAGAACGGGGTCAGATCCTGTGTACACCAGTCGTTTTTTTAAGTCCTACTGGTGCGGAACTTGACAAGAATAGCTGGTCTAATTATAACGTTACGTAAGTTGGATGTTCGTCGTTAAGTCTTTACTTTGTCTGCTGCGACAACTTGATATTTTTTTCAATATCGTAACTGACTTACGCAGCTTCTTTCTATTAAATGTCAGATCAAGGGCAGGGTCACGCCCACACAAGAGGTAAAAGGGTGGAGTGCGAACTGCATCGCATTATCCGATCTTATAGCCCCCACGTAAGGCAGTGTATTGGAACACTTTCCTTCAGATGCAGGATGATAAGCGGTTGATTGTTGCCGGACGTACACCGCTCTACTTAATATAGGTTTGTAACTAGTGCAAGGGGGCCCCCGGGCTTGAGGATAATTCTCCTCTTAATGTCAATGAACCTCGTCATAGTGGAAGTCTTGATTTTAAAGGGAACCTGAAACACTTCTGGGAAGAAACGCGGTAGAGGTGAATTCGGGCGTATTTTTATCCCGTGAATCTGAAATCACGTTCGTTTACCCCGAAAAACCTCTGATCAGTCCTGACGTCACACTCGGATCTTTGGACCGTCAAGCGCGTGTAGCTCGTGTGCACAGCGCGTGCAATTGCAAGGTTGCCAGGTATATTCCTTCGCACAATCGTGACGTTTCTTTCCGACCTTTTTTTTTTATAAAAATAGCAGGAGTGCGCGCGCTTAGCTTTACAGGCGCTGAAGATGCGCGAGAGCAGAGATTGTGTAAACTCCTATGCTCTGTTTCATGCTTAGCGTGTAACGCTCTCAACGCTACTGGCGCGACAGCGTGGCTTTATCTATGGTGTTGTTTGCGCGAGAATGCGTGCAAATTATCAACGAGATCATGCCCCACGCTCGCGCTAGTAGATTTGACAGCGTTGCACACTAAGTATGAAACAGAGTATAATGTGATGTTACGTCCTGGGATGGAGGGGCTTCAGCGGTACACTCTAAAAAAAGTCTGTGCGTCTACTTTCACGCACAAAAATCGGAGAGCCAATCGGCGCAACTTACGGAGGCAGCTCAGCAAACGACGATGCCGAAACATATGTTTAGACCAAAAAACGCAGTCTGAGTTGTGACATTAAGCAATGCAAAACGTCACGCTTGCATTGCTTAATGTCACAACTCAGACTGCGCTTTTTGGTCTAAACATATGTTTCGGCATCGTCGTTTGCTGAGCTGCCTCCGTAAGTTGCGCCGATTGGCTCTCCGATTTTTGTGCGTGAAAGTAGACGCACAGACTTTTTTTAGTGCACTATGAAAGTTAATTTATGCAGCCTCCGTGCACCAAATTGAAAACAAAAATCTCGATATTCGTAATCCTGGAGGCCAATTTAGGTGGCTTTCCTCAAACTCAGGACCGCTTCAGTTTCCCTTCAAGCAGAGCTTTTGACACAAAACTATTGGTTGAATAGTCTACGGCTACTATAAGAATCTTGTACAGCTAGGTCATCGGGAAAATCCAAATTTGTCGAGTTTGACTGTAATATGCTTACATTTTCTGCAGGGGTCCGTAAGGGGACCTTGAAGTCATTTTAACACGTTAACAAATGCCAAAAGTATTTACTAACCGTTGGACGTCTAGGCCAGTCTAAACCATAAATAGTTGCTATAAATATCGCCTTGGTGCTTGAAAAGAAATAATCATCTCTTAATGGGAATTGAAAATGGAGATACCTCTCAATTTGCACTTTGAAATATGAAAACAAATACTGTACGAAAATTGTGTCCCGATAAAAGCAAAGTTTTCTTTTGGAATACTATCGTAATACCTTTTTATGGTTTACCTCAGATGGTAACTCACACCATACACCGCCCACTCGCCATTTGTCCGCGAAATCATGCCGACTACCAAGCGAACATAAATTGAGCTCTGCCTAAATGTGTCCTACTAAGAGAAAACATCACCCTGACTGAAACCCGCACGTTAAGGAATGGTAATTATTTCCGGTACTTTGACATATTTTTTCGGGTTCAATAATGGACTTTATAAATTATAATTCGCCGATTCTATCAATGTGACGAATAATGGCGGTGTAACCCCAAGTGGTGAATTAGGAAGCACGAGCTACCAACCTTCACAAGCCACTCGTCATGCACCGTTCTTCAAACTTTGCTAACAACCGCTGGTATTCTGTTCACATGCGAGCAAGATACCTACGCTGGTGATGCTCTCAAGGACAGCCCTTTGCTGCTCAAATTGGGAGCTTTTAATAAAGCAAGATACTATAATTTATATTAGTGTATTGATATC